ATTTTTTGGTTGCAGCCATCATTGTTGTTTTGGCGGGTCCGGGCTGGGGATTCGAACCCGCCACCTTAGGTGTACATGGCTGTTTCTATTTCTATAGCCATAAAATCAGGATAAAAACAATGCCTACTTCTCAGGGTTGAGGTATGGATTAAATGAGAATATGTACACAATGCATGGGCACAGAAGAGAAAAGTATTCAATACATGAAAATTATGAGTAATCTGGCTCAGCACCTGTGGCTCAAGTGGCTAAGGCGCCAGCCACATACACTTGAGCTGGCGGGTTTGAATCCTGCCTGGGCCCGCCAAATAATAATGATGGCTGCAACTAAAAAATAGCCGGGTGTTGTAGTGGGCGCCTGTAGTCCCAGCTACTTGGAAGGCAGAGGCAGGAGAATTGCTTGAGCCCAGGAGTTGGAGGTTGCTGTGAGCTGTGATGTCACATCACTCTACCTAGGGTGACAGCCTGAGGTTCTGTCTCAAAAAAAAAAAAAAAAAGAAAGAAAATTATGAGTAATCTATTCACAGAGCAGATGTGTGCTACTACAGGTAACCCTTTATATCTTCAAAGCTGTACATATAATTCTGGAAAATTAATTCATCATTGCAATATACCAGTAAAGTCTTTTTTTTTTTTTTTTTTTTTTGAGACAGAGCCTCAAGCTGTCACCCTGGGTAGAGTACCATGGCATCACTGCTCACAGCAACCTCTAACTCCTGGGCTTAAGTGATTCTCTTGCCTCAGCCTCTCAAGTAGCTGGGGCAATAGGCACCTGCCACAATGCCCGGCTAATTTTTGGTTGTAGTTGTCATTGTTTGGCAGACCAGGCTGGATTTGAAACTGGCAGCTCTGGTGTTGTGGCTGGCTCCTTAGCCACTTGAGCTACAGGCACCGAGCCTACCAGTAAAGTCTTAATGAAGTATTCCAAAAAATATTTGAGACAAAAGGCTGCCAAACAAATTTTTTTTTTTTGAGACAGTTTCACTTTGCCCTGTCATAACTCACACTCAAACTCTTGGGCTCAGGTGATCCTCTTGCTTCACTTTTTCATTTTTAGTAGATACAGGCTCTCATTCTTGCTCAGGCTGGTCTCAAACACGTGAGCTCAAGCAACACACCCCCTCCTTGACCTCCCAGAATGCTAGGGTTACAGGTGTGAGCTACTGTGCCTGGCTTAACAATTTATTTTTAAATTGATGCCAGTTATTTAGGTACCCCAGTGCCCCAAGGAATACAATTTAAAATAAAAGGGCACCAATATATTCATCATAGTATAACTTATTTATTTATCTACCTTTTTTTTTTCTTTAGAGACAGAGTCTCACTTTGTTACCCTCTGTAGAGTGCCTTGGGATCATAGCTCACAACAACATCCAGCTCTTGGGCTTAGGCAATTCTCTTGCCTCAGCCTCCCAAGTAGCTGGGACTATAGGCACCCGCCACAATGCTTGGCTATTTTTTTGTTAGAGTTTGTCCGGGGCCAGGTTCAAACCTGCCACCCTTGGTATATAGGGCTGGCACCCTACTCACTGAGCAGCAGGCACCGCCCAATATAGTTAATATTTATTACATACTTCCAGGGACTATGCTATGTACTAATATCACATTATCTCATTTAATTTTTAAAATTCTTTATTCTTTTATTTTTTCCAGTTGATCTTGCTAGATTTGAGAAGATAAATCTAATTTAATCTTTACAACTCTTTGTATGAAGCACTATTATTACCTCTATTTTACAGACCAGCAAACTAAGGTCAAGAAAAATTAAGTAGCCTAAGGTAACACTGAAAATATATATCAGATCTGCTTCTGAGCACAGGTCATGTAGCTTTAAAATTTATGCTTTCAACTACTAAGATCCATGCATACTTCCCAAAAGTAAGCTTTACAACAGTATTTATATGTTGATTCCATGTATGTATTGATTTTAAATGTTTATATAATTTCAAATTCATAGAAAATTAATGTATGTACATAATACATGTATGTATAATGTCTGAAAGAGATAATAAGAACTGCTAACTAGGTCAGCGCCTGTAGCTCAGTGACTAGGGCACTGGCCCCATATATGGAGAGTGGTGGGTTCAAACCCAGCCCCGGCCAAACTGCAACAACAAAAAAAATAGCCAGGCATTGTGGCGTGAGCCTATAGTCTCAGCTACTTGGGAGGCTGAGGAAAGAGAATCGCCTAAGCCCAAGAGCTGGAGGTTGCTGTGAGCTGTGATGCCATAGCACTCTACTGAGGGTGACAGAGTGAGACTCTGTTCCTTCTTAAAACAAAACAAAACAAAAAAAAAACTGTGAACTAACATGGCTCAGTACCTGTTTCTCAGTGGTTAGGGTGCCGGCCATATACACTGGGGCTGGTGAGTTCAACCTGGCCTGGGCTGGGTTTGAACCCACCAGCCCCGATGTATATGGCTGGTACACTAGCCACTGAGCTATGGGCACCAAGCCAGTTTTTCTATTTATTTTTGTCAAACAACATTGACAACTACAACAAAAAAATAGCCAGGCACTGTGGCAGGCACCTATAGTCTCAGCTACCTAGGAGCTGAGTCAAGAGAATTGCTTAAGCCCAAGACTTTGAGATTGCTGTGAGCTGTGATGCCACAGTGCTCTACTGAGGGTGACATAGTGAGATTCTGTCTCAAAACAAAAAATAAATAAATTAAACATAAATAAAAATAGAAAAACTAGCAAGTATGGTGGTAGGCAGCTGTAGTCCCAGCTACTCAGGAGGCTGAGTCAGAAGAATCGCTTGAACTCAGGAGCTTAAGATTGGTGTAAGCTATAATCATGCCAAGGCACTTTACTGAGGATGGCAGATTGAGACTCTATCTCAAAAAGAAAAAGTCGAGAAGTGAGACACTTAGTCAGGATTTCATTTTATAACCTCTGCTTCCTACATCAGGTAAGCTGCAGGTCAGGGTGGCCTTGATCAGGTAAGTGGCAGCCCCAAGGTACCCGCCCATCCATACTTGCGTCAAACACATGCAGCTTCACGTCCTGCACAGGCTGGGCACCTCTCTCTCCTCCCCCAAAGACAAACAGCTGGTTTCCAATGGCTGCCGATGATGTGTGGAATGTTCTGGGGGATGGTGGTGGGTTGGTCACTTCTGGTGTGGTCCAAGTCTTGGTTTCTGGTTTTGAGAGAAGGCAAGACCCTAAAACACCTAGGCTGAGAATTGCTTGAGCCGAAGAGTTAGAGGTTGCTGTGAGTTATAACACCACAGCACTCTACCAAAGTCAACAAAGTGAGGCTCTGCCTCAAAAATTTTTTAAAATGAAAATAAAAAGAATTTTCCCAGACAGACCAAAATCCCCAAGATTGACAGCCAGAAACACAATTAGGAGTGAAGTCAATTTGTTTGGGGAGGTCTCCAAATACTCTCACTGAATCCTTTCCACTCTACTCACTACCTGGCCTTCTGCCTATTCAGAGGAGCCCAATATCTGCTGAAATTCATTTCTACTAGATGCTAGAGTTCAAATGTACCAAATTTCCCAGAAAATGTGGCCATTAAAAGAAAGTAGAAAGCAGGCACAGGGGCTCACACCTGTAATCCTAGTACTCTGGAAGGCTGAAGTGGGTGGATTGCTTGAGCTCAGGAGTTCAAGACCAGCCTGAGCAAGATTGAGACCCTGTCTCTACTAAAAATGAAAAAAGCTAGCTGGGCATTATGGTGAGTGTCTGTAGTCCCAGCTACCTGGGAGGCTGAGGCAAGAGAATTGCTTAAGCCCAACAGTTTGAGGTTGCTATGAACCGTTGACACCATGGCACTCTACTGAGGGTGACATAGTGAGACTTTGTCTCAAAAAAAAAAAAAAA